GCTGAGCCTGGCAACCTCATCTATAGATTTGTACAGAATTTGCACTTTCAATTAGAAACAAGCTTATGCAGATGATTTTACAAATGTGAACTGATACAACATTGTCTTCCTTAGTCTGCAAGCTTTGTTATTGATCATAGCTTTGCCAAACAGGAGCAAAGTGAAGCTATAGGGCTGTTGTCAGTTTTACCATCCTGTGAACAGCTCTAAGACTATAAAAATAATGATTATTTTCTTCCGCTTCCTGAAAATGCTATAAGCAGTAATAGAGGGAAACACTAATATCAGCCATGGTAGAGAGGGTCCCAAAAATTGAGACTAGGTGGGGAGAGATAGTGACTTCACCTCTTCAAAACACAAGGTAGGGCAGGGTGGCACCTTAGAGATTAATTGGTTAGTCTCTAGAAAAGGTGATGTATTTGTTCCTGGATAGGTTATGCCTGTGTTTACCTGGGAATATAAATACTGTGGGATTGCTGTGTACATACACCACCTTCCTAATCAGGGTTTAGTAAGCAGGTAAATGCAGTGCTGCTTTTCTGCCATTGAGTCAATGGTGCAATCCCAGGATAACTGTACAGATGTATTTTGCAATATCTCAGGATAAACTTTCACTACCTCTTATCCCTGGACAATGGACATGGGCATCTGTACAGTTGTAGCTTCTCCTGGGATAAAAATGGTTTATCCTGGGGCAAATGGGACATCTGCAGCCTAAGGGGCCACCCTATCCTGTCTTCTGCTGATTTCAGGCTAAACCTGCTAATTGCCTCTCTAGTCAGAGCAGAAAGGAGAAGCCTAAAGGGGAAAGCTATCTTCATTATCCTTCTAAGAGCTGAAGTTCTAATTTATAACAACCTCAATGACTCCTCTCTTTTGTAGCTGCCTATAACTAGTGGGTGTCTGGTAAATTTTTCAAACTCCAGATGTAAAACTGTCATTGGCACGCCCACATGTTAAGTTAGGCACTTGCTAAGTGCTTGCAGGACTGGAGCTTTTAACTGCATGACTTTAACATAGCATCAGCCTGTATTTCTCCCCCTCCACACCAAATTATTCCAGAGAAAAGAAAAATCCAACAGCACTAATAGAGCTATACTAGTTTCAGTCAGTTCCCAGGCATGTTAAGAACAAAGTTACCTTAAAAATAGACTCATGATGCAATATCCCATTTTACTCTAATAGTAAATTATCACTGCAAGGTAAAGTTCAAGATTCTTGGATATAGCGTATTCTTTCAGCACAAACACAATAGAAAACAAAAACGTCAAGAAAATAACATGCTATGACCGAGTACGCAGATGTTCTAGTGAACAAGGTGCTTTCACATAGTGGTTTTCAAAAGATAATTATGCTTGCAGTATTACACATTTTTTCAAAACTTTGGAAAAGGAAGTGATTGGATGCTTGGCTTTCACTGCAGCAGAATGCAAGTGTCAAATAAGGAAACAGGTGGCTTATTTTCTCTTTCAGTTACCCAAATTTTGAAAAACCTCATTGACTGGGGAAACAATTCTGCACTTACACCATCCTTGTTTTTCTTCAGGCTGTATACAAGTTTGTTTACAAGACAGCAGATTGATACTATGGTGACAGGGACTACAAAAGGACTGGATTTCAATGAGCTAGTGAATAAAGCTAAGCCTGTATTCTTGACTATTTGTAGAGTGATAGCCTGAGTAACTATACAAAGTCAGGAAATTGTTCAGTTCCTTATTTTCTGCAACAGCAAAGATTATCTGGGGAGATATAGTAATCCATGAGATAGGTCTAAAACCGTGGTTCTCAACCTTTTTGTATTGAGGCACACCTCACTGAACTTGAAACACTCCGCCATAACTTTTGTGAATGGAGTGGCACCTAATTTCAATTTGATGAGGGGGGCCATAAAGGGCATATAACTGATTGGTTGGGACAACTAAAGATGGGAGTGAGGGTCGTTGGTTCAAAATGAGTGCACTGAGGAGCATAGAGCAGAACCCACTAGCCAGTGCCCACCGGCCCTCAAATGAGTCCATGTGTGACAGGCCTATTTGACACATATTGGGGACATGGGCCTTGGGTCCACAGAGTAACAGCCCTCCCCTGCCCCGCCCCCTTCCCATTAATAGTGGGAACTACTGGGTATATATCAACAGAATTTGTGGAACAAACAAAAGACAAAACAGGGGCAGGAGTGAAGGTTATAGGTTCAAAATGAGCACCCTGGAGGGGGACACAGAGCAGAGCCCACCGGCCAGTGCCCACTGGCCCCTGAATGAGTCCATGTGTGACACAGACCTGTTTGCTACTTTCAAGGGATCGTGGCCAATGCCCACCCAGAAAAACTATAAACCTGCTTGAAAACGGGAGGTGACTGAGAAACAGATTTCTTGGCACAAAATAAAAAAGAAAACAGGGAAGGGAGTGACATAATAGGTTTGAAATAAGGAATCAGGAAGGAGCCACAGAGCAGAGCGCACCAGTTGGTGCTCACTGGTCCTCGAAAGAGTCCATGTGCAACACAGGCCTATTTGTTGCGTAAAGAATGCTGGCCAGCGCCCAGAAGGAAACAGCATAAGCGTCCCTTAGAAAGGGAGGCCACTAGGTAGACAACAGCTGATTTCTGGGGACAACTGAAGACGTAACAGGGTTGAGAGTGAGGTCAGAGGTTTAACACTAGTGCCAAGGGGGGACACAAAGCAGAGCATGCTGGACAGCTCCCACTGGTCCTCGAACAAGTCTGTGTATGACACAGGACACTTCCGGGATTCATGGGCTAAAGGACCACCACGGGAAACTTTAAGCCCCACTCAGAGAGGTAGACTACTGAGAAAGTGGCAACGGATTGCTTGGGACAAATGATAAAAAACAGGGATGGGAGTGATGGTCAAAGGTTAATAACTAGTGTGCCAAGCGGGAGGGGACGGGGCACAGGCAGAGCTCACATGATAGCATCCTCTGGCCCTCAAACGAGTCCATGTGCAACACAGGACTTTTCACATGTCAAGGAGTCATGGGCCCAGGCCTGCCAAGGAAACTATAAGCCCCTGTTAGTACTGGGGGCAACTATAAGCCCCCATTAGTACGGGGGGGCCACTAATGACATGTTACAGATTACTTGAGATAAAAATGATGAAAATGGGGACAGGAGTGGAAGTCAGAGGTTCATAACGATTGCCAGGGGGAGACACTGAGCAGAGCACACTAGACAGTGGCCCTTGAATGAGTCTGTATGTGACACAGGCCTATTTGTCACCTTAACAGGTGTGGGCCTAAGCCCACCAATTAACTTATTGGCCTCCATCAGGCAAGGAGGCTACAGAAAAGGTGGCAATTGAGTACTTGGGACAAATAATGAAAACAGAGACAGGAGTGGTGGTCAAAGGTTCATAAAAAGAGTGCCATGCAGGGACACTGGACAGTGCCCATTGGCCCTCAGACACATCCATGTGTGACAGGCCTTTTACCATGTGAAGGGATTTCATGGGCCAGGACCGCCAAGGAAACTATAAACCCCCTTTAATACAGGGGCCACTAGTGATGAGTTACTGAATGCTTAGGACAAATAATAATGAAAACAGGGACAGAAGTGGAGGTCAAAGGTTCAAAACAAGAGTGCCAAGGGGGGACACTGATCAGAACACATTGGACAGCACCCGCCAGCCCTCAGCCGAATCCAGGTGCGATACGGGCCTATTTGTCATCCTTTAAAACACGTGGGTGCAGTCTACCAAGTTTGTCATTGGCCTCCGTTAGGCAGGGAGGCTGCAGGAAAAGGGGACAACAGATTTTTTGGGACAAATGAAAAAAAAACAGAGAAGGGAGTGCTAGTCAGAGGGAAAACAAGTGTGCCAAGTGGGGACATGGAGCAGAGCATGCCGGACAGTGCCCACAGGCCCTTAGCTGAATACAGGTGCGACACAGGAGACTGGGCAAGACAGAGGATGGTCTGGTTTGCTACATGGTACTTCTGGTGTCCTTTCCAGCCTGCCAGTTGGAGGCACAATGCACTTTTTAAAAAAAATAAATTCTTCATGTTCCAAGCCAAATCAAGTCCAAATCCAGGAGTCAGTGCAGAACCACAAGCGGCCGTGCAACCGGCAAACATCCTCCACCCCCACCTGGGACTTCAGATATTTCCAAACTCTTTCAGTGGGCATCCTACGTGCAGGCCCAAGCCGGGAAGCGTGGGGTTCGGTTGCGCCCAAGCTTCGCCTGCCCTCCGCCACGTGGGCGCAAAAGCAAGCTGGGGAGGAGACTCCCATTTCCATAAAGCGGGCTTTAAGCCCGAACACGTGGAACCAGCCCAGAAGAACAGTTATCCCCCGGAGGGCGTAATGAAATCTGTCTTCATGGACCCAGATACATGGTGAGGAGGCACCTCGGCGGGAGGCAGAGGCCAGGGCCCAGCTGGCACCCAGGCAGGATGCTGCCTTCGCGGTGAGGCCCGGCGCCCGCGGGGGGCTCGCGTGGGCGACGCAGGGGTCCGCGCCCCCCGCCCGGCGCCGGGG